CGGCAAGCTGCAATTGACCGATTGTGCTAAATAAACTGACTTTCTGCTTCACAACCACTATTGTACGTTCAAAGAGTTAAATCCATATACACGCCGGGTGGCGGTAATATTTTTTTGGGTGATTAGTGCATTCCAGTGACATAAACGTACAGTTTCCAGCCAACGGCAAGCTGCAATTGACCGATTGTGCTAAATAAACTGACTTTCTGCTTCACAACCACTATTGTACGTTCAAAGAGTTAGATCCATTTACACGCCGGGTGGCGGTAATATTTTTTGGGTGATTAGTGCATTCCAGTGACATAAACGTACAGTTTCCAGCCAACGGCAAGCTGCAATTGACCGATTGTGCTAAATAAACTGACTTTCTGCTTCACAACCACTATTGTACGTTCAAAGAGTTAAATCCATTTACACGCCGGGTGGCGGTAATATTTTTTGGGTGATTAGTGCATTCCAGTGACATAAACGTACAGTTTCCAGCCAACGGCAAGCTGCAATTGACCGATTGTGCTAAATAAACTGACTTTCTGCTTCACAACCACTATTGTACGTTCAAAGAGTTAGATCCATTTACACGCCGGGTGGCGGTAATATTTTTTTGGGTGATTAGTGCATTCCAGTGACATAAACGTACAGTTTCCAGCCAACGGCAAGCTGCAATTGACCGATTGTGCTAAATAAACTGACTTTCTGCTTCACAACCACTATTGTACGTTCAAAGAGTTAAATCCATTTACACGCCGGGTGGCGGTAATATTTTTTTGGGTGATTAGTGCATTCCAGTGACATAAACGTACAGTTTCCAGCCAACGGCAAGCTGCAATTGACCGATTGTGCTAAATAAACTGACTTTCTGCTTCACAACCACTATTGTACGTTCAAAGAGTTAAATCCATATTACACGCCGGGTGGCGGTAATATTTTTTGGGTGATTAGTGCATTCCAGTGTGACATAAACGTACAGTTTCCAGCCAACGGCAAGCTGCAATTGACCGATTGTGCTAAATAAACTGACTTTCTGCTTCACAACCACTATTGTACGTTCAAAGAGTTAAATCCATTTACACGCCGGGTGGCGGTAATATTTTTTTTGGTGATTTAGTGCATTCCAGTGACATAAACGTACAGTTTCCAGCCAACGGCAAGCTGCAATTGACCGATTGTGCTAAATAAAAACTGACTTTCTGCTTCACAACCACTATTGTACGTTCAAAGAGTTAAATCCATTTACACGCCGGCTGGCGGTAATATTTTTTTGGGTGATTAGTGCATTCCAGTGACCTATAAACGTACAGTTTCCAGCCAACGGCAAGCTGCAATTGACCGATTGTGCTAAATAAACTGACTTTCTGCTTCACAACCACTATTGTACGTTCAAAGAGTTAAATCCATATACACGCGGGTGGGCGGTAATATTTTTTGGGTGATTAGTGCATTCCAGTGACATAAAACGTACAGTTTCCAGCCAACGGCAAGCTGCAATTGACCGATTGTGCTAAATAAACTGACTTTCTGCTTCACAACCACTATTGTACGTTCAAAGAGTTAAATCCGGTTTTATTTTTGGGGTGCTTATTGAATTAAAGAGTATGTCAGACAACACGCAGAGGAGTGGCAGAGGAGGCAATGTTTCAGGAGCGAGCAGACGTGGCAGCAGAGGAAGGGGTCGAGGCAGCACTAGTCGCAGCCAGAGGCCAGTGCTCCCGGTGTCATCCAGCGGGTCGTGTCTCCACCGACAACCCTGCCGTCATCGATTGGTTGACTCGGTCGTCTTCCTCTTCCCAGGTCACCTCTGACACCTACAGCCAACGGTCGGTGGGTACGTCAGACACAACCGTTAGTTGGCATGGCCCGGGAGCAAGCCCACTGAAATCACGTGTCCTCGACCTGCCCCTGTCCTTTGGTGTTCCCTCACCAAGCGAAGTATCGCATGCTGTGGGCTCAGCCCCACTGTACAGTGAGGAAGAGCTAACAGAGGGCGGTCAGGAACGGGGGGAGACATCCGCCTCTTCAGCAGCCAGGCGAAGAAGTACTGGCGAGGAGAGTGGCTCGGTAGCCGGTCTAGAGACAGGTCTGTCTCCTGACCCACACGCAGCCGAGGGGGCTAGTAGTGACGCGGAGACCCTAATTGATGATGATGAGGCTGATCGCACTTGGCAGCCTCGTCGTCATCAGGCTATTGCTTCCGCATCATCAGGAGAAGAGGGTGCCAGCTTGCCAGCGAGCAAAACAGTCGGTGGGTTGCCCAGGAGGCAGCAGGGTCGCAGCAGTGTCAGTGGAGCCAAACGGCCACGGAGTAGAGCACCAGCTCCACTGCAGCCTACCACCACGGCCAGTAGTGGTGCCGGTGTGCACGGAGGAAGTAGCAGTCAGCCAGTGAGGAGTAGCGGGGGGCAAAGTTTCCTACTCGGCGGTGTGGCAATTTTTCGTCAAGCCGCCCGAGGAAGTAAACGTAGCCGTATGTCGACTATGTGGCCAGAAAGTCAAGCGTGGCCAGGGGGCCAATGTTGGGACTACAGCGTTGCGTCAGCATATGCAGCGTCGCCATTCGGTGGCCTGGGAAAACCGTGATAAAGATACGGCGGTTCTGCCTGCCCCAGCCCCCGCTCCATCACCCGCTCCGTTACTTGCTCCGTCACCCCGACGTCAATCGCCCTCTATCAGCCAGTCAAGGCTCCAACACCTCTGCTGAGGGGAGTTGTCGCTCGTTGGCATCTTCCGCTCGTTCAGATGCTCCTTCTCCTGCTACTCCTCTTCACGGATTTCCGTCAGCAGTCTTTCTTGGAATCCGTTTCCAAGAGACAACAGTTTGCGAGCACGCACCCGACGGTGCAGAAGCTGAACGTCCTCCTGTCCAAGTTGCTGGTGCTGCAGTCCCTCCCTTTCCAAGTGGTGGACTCAGCACCTTTCCGAGAAATGATGGCTTGTGCCGAGCCGCGGTGGAGAGTGCCAAGCCGGCATTTCTTCGCCAAAAAGGCAGTGCCAGCCCTGCATTCACATGTACATGTAGAAGAGATGGTGGGCCAGTCTTTGAGCATGTCGGTCTCTGCCAAAGTGCACGGCAGCGCCGACGTGTGGAGCTGTAACTACGGTCAGGGACAGTACATGTCATTTACGGCCCACTGGGTGAACGTGGTGCCGGCACAGCCGCACCAGCAACTTGGACAGGTCACGCCGCTTTTGCCTCCACGTTTGCACGTCCTTGGTCCAGCAAAGATGTCCGCCTCTACCACCTCTTCTTCCGCCGTGTCCTCAGCCGCCACCCCCGTGCCAAGTCCCATTACCCGACCGGCATATCACATGTGCAGGGCGCAACGGTGTCACGCTGTGCTGCACCTGGTATGCCTTGGCGAACGTAGTCACACAGGGGAGGAACTTCTGAGTGTAATGAACAGAGAAATCGACAGATGTAATGGAACAGTTGACCGACAACGGAAAGAACATGGTGTCGACAGAAGGTGGCCATGTCTCCATGGCTCACGTGTTCAAACTTGTCAATCGGTTCCTAAAATCCATGCATCCTTAAAATGTCACGTAAACTTTGCATGCATTTCAGCCATTCCTACACCGCAAAAGCACACCCTCCTTGAGCTGCAGCGGCAGAACGGAATTCCACAGCATCGCCTGATCTGCGACGTTGCAACAAGGTGGAATTCAACCCTACATATGTTAGACCGCCTTTACGAACAGCGAAAGGCCATCACCGATTTCCTGATGTTACAAGCGGATAAAGGTACTCCCCTGTGTAACTTAGATGTCAGCCATTGGCAGCTCATGCGTGACACCTGCCGCTTGCTCAGGCCCTTTGAGGAGGCCACGCTATTCGTGAGTCGGCAGGACTATGGGATGAACGACGTCATTCCTCTGTTGCACGTCCTGGAACAAATGCTGTTAACAATGGCTGGTCAGGGTGCGGTAGACGTGGCGCACAGATCTCAACGCCACATGACCCCTGTGGGGGCAGGACAGGAAGAAGAGGAGGAGGTAGAGGAGGACATTGGTGCTCAGGAATTATTGAGTGAAATGGGTGGTTTTTCCACTCAGCGGACAGGAGTGGAGGAGCAGGAGCATCTGGTAGAGGAGGAGGAGGAGACAGAGGACCCAGACGCACCGTGGCAGTATGCTGTGGAGATGGAGGCAGGGAGTCCCTCGCATTCCTTGGCACAAATGGCCCATAGCATGCTCGGTTGCTTGCGTAGCGACAGCCGAATAATAACCATCAGACAGAGGGATGACTTTTGGCTGTCCACCTTGTTGGACCCTCGCTACCGTTCAAAAATGGTGGCCTTTTTCACACCTGCTGAGAGGGAGGCCAAAATAAAGTACTATAAAAACCACCTATGTAGTCAGTTGGTCTCTGCCTTTCTGCGCCAACGTCCATCCTCAGACACTGTGGGCCCTGTGCGCTCGCGGGAATTGCTTTGTATATCTGTCGCCTTAGGGGCCGCTGTCTGGCGACATAATTTTTTGTCACTGTGTAGACATCTATTTATAGGCCGATGTTTGGCCACAAAAATATATTTAGTAATAACCTAGCCGTTCAGGCCGCTCCCTGAACACCTTGGAATTGCTTTGTATATCTGTCGCCTTAGAGGCCGCTGTCTGAACAGCTCATGAATTGCTTTCTATATGTGTCGCCTTTGAGGCCGCTGGCTGGACAGCTGATGAATTGATTTGTATATATGTACTTATTGTCCGCTGTCCGGACAGCTCATGAATTACTTTTTGTATATAGCCTTCCAAACCACTCTCAGAATAAGTCATGATATTCATGCTGTGTATAGCCTTATAGGCCAATGGTCAATCAAGTCATGATTGTTATAGTGTGTATAGCCTTATAGGCCGCTGTCTTTACAACAACTTTATAATTCCATGCAGTATATAGCCCTATCGGCCACTTTCTGGCATCCAGTTGCTGTAGCCCCCATCACCACACCACACTGTGCCACGGGCCCCTGTACCGCCTTCTCATACTGCTGCCAGATCCATCCTCTGCCATGTGCGTCTTTGTCGTCTGCTCACGCTGCTGGGTTCCAGTTTTAAACCTAGGCCTGTGTATGGCTTCCGAATACTGCTGCCTCCACCGCCACCCTGCGCCATGTGCCTCTGTCGTCTGCTCACGCTGCTGACGGCTTCCGCTTTTTAAACTAGTCCTCTGTATGTCTTCCGAATACTGCTGCCTCCACCGCCACCCTGCGCCATGTGCCACTTTCGGGTCTCCTCACACTGCTGCCAGGTCCATACTGATTCATGGCCCCCTGTACCGGCTCCTCAGAACGTGGTTCAGCGGGTTTGCATCACTTAACGGCAAAATCGTTGACAAATGCTGGGACGTTCAGTGTTGTGCGCATTAAGCCAGACACCAAAGGGCAGCACAGACCTGTTATTTATTACTCGCTCAAGCATGGCTGAACAAAACCAGTCTCTACCACAAATTGGACCCAGACCTGCCCAGGGTCTTGTAACTAGATTGCACGGAGGAGTAGAGTCCGTTATCGGAATTAAATAGACAAAACGCCACACCAAAAAGAGTGGCCATTTCCAACACTTATTCCAGAAAGAGGAACAACCCGTTTCATATACGGCCCGTAGACGTTTCACGTCTGCCACATTCAGTCGATTTAAGACGCAAGCTCCACTTCCTGTGGTCTCTGACCGTCGATATACCTTTAAGTGTCAGCTTTGAAGCTATATTCCCTCCGGAGCACTGACACTGGTGCCCTTCCGTCAACATGCCTTTAAGTTTCAGTTTTCAACCATACCCCCCCACGCCAAACTCTTGGGTATCCCAGAAGCTGCTCAGTGGGTCAGGGCAATAAAGCTCCCGGTTCGCAGGTTGTTCCGTCTTATGGATGGAAGTACGACGGTATATGATCTTCTTCGCACCCACGGCATCACCTCATAGAATCTCTGCATTGCATCTGCAATCACAACGCTGACTTCCCGGATCGCCACTCAGCCATTGGACTCTTGATAGTTGTCTCCCCACACTGCTGCTGGGGGGGACTTTTTAACCTAGGCCTGTGTATGGCCTTCAATTGAAGCTGCTTCCGCTCCGCCACTCTGCCATTGGACTCTTGATAGTCGTCTCCCCACGCTGCTGCTGGGGGGACTTTTTAACCTAGGCCTGTGTATGGCCTTCAATTGAAGCTGCTTCTGCTCCGCCACTCTGCCATTGGACTCTTGATAGTCGTCTCCCCACACTGCTGCTGGGGGGACTTTTTAACATAGGCCTCTGTATGGCCTTCAATTTAAGCTGCTTACGCTTCGCCACTCTGCCATGGGCCCCTGTACCGCCTCCTCTTGCTGCTGCCAGGTCCAGAGTGTGTCATGGGTCCCTGTACGTACGGCCTCCCATTGCTGCTGACTTCATCGCCAGACTCTGCCATGTGCCACTTTCAGGTCTCCTTACACTGTTGGTGGGTTCCATTTTGTGATAGGGTGCTGTATGGCCTTCCATTGCTGCTGCCATCCACCGCCACCCTGCGCCATGTCCCTCTGTCGTCTGCTCACGCTGCTGCTGACGGCTTCCGCTTTTTAACCGAGGCCTGTGTTTGCCTTCCGAATACTGCTGCATCCACCGCCACCCTGCGCCATGTGTCTCTGTCGTCTGCTCACGCTGCTGACGGCTTCCGCTTTTTAACCCTAGGCCTGTGTATGGCTTCAGAATAATGCTGCCTACACCGCCACCCTGCACCATGTGCCTCTGTCGTCTGCCCACGCTGCTGCCAGGTCCATACTGATTCATGGCCCCCTGTACCGGCTCCTCATGAACGTGGTTCAGCGGGTTTGCATCACTTAATGGCAAATCGTTGACAAACGCTGGGACGTTCAGTGTTGTGCGCATTAAGCCAGACACCAAAGGGCAGCACAGACCTGTTATTACTCGCTCAAGTATGGCTGAACAAAACCAGTCTCTACCACAAAATTGGACCCAGACCTGCCCAGGGTCTCGTAAGTAGATTGCACGGAGGAGTAGAGTTCGTTATTGGAATTAACTGTGAGGGACTTTTAAACCTAGGCCTGTGTATGGCCTTCAATTGAAGCTGCTTCTGCTCCGCCACTCTGCCATTGGACTCTTGATAGTCATCTCCCCACGCTGCTGCTGGGGGGACTTTTTAACATAGGCCTCTGTATGGCCTTCAATTTTAGCTGCTTACGCTCCACCACTCTGCCATGGGCCCCTGTACCGCCTCCTCATGCTGCTGCCAGGCCCCTAATCTGCCATGGGCCCCCGTACCGACTCCTCATGCTGCTGCCAGGCCCGTAATCTGTCATGGGCCCCTGTACCGCCTCCTCATGCTGCTGCCAGGTCCAGAGTGTGTCATGGGTCCCTGTACGGCCTCCCATTGCTGCTGTCTCCATCGCCACACTCTGCCATGTGCCACTTTCAGGTCTCCTCACACTGCTGGTGGGTTCCATTTTGTCATAGGGTGCTGTATGGCCTCCCATTGCTGCTGCCTCCACCGCCACACTGTGGCTCCACACTCTGGTTTTGGCCCGTGACTGCCCAAATGAGTGAAGTGTGCGGTGATTCTAAGATCGACGGCACTCATCTGCATGTCATACTGACTGACAGTATTATTTCTCTTCCCCAGCAGACTCCAAGGGCATTTAAATTAAAGGTACAGTGTTCTGCACTAATATAAAGGCTCTCTGAAGCCTAGAAACACCCTTTTTATAAGTTAAATTCGCAGCAAATATATTCGGCTCGAAGCGAATTTATGCGGCGAATTCGGCGAATCAGCCGAACCGAATTTTTGAATAATTCGCTCATCTCTAGTAGTAATCTCTAGCAATCTTCTGAAGCATTCTTTGCCATCTCTCGTAGCATGTCTGCAGCCTCTGACCATCTCTTGCAGCATGTCTGCAGTCACTGACCATCTCTTGCAGCATGTCTGCAGTCACTGACCATCTCTTGCAGCATGTCTGCAGTCACTGACCATCTCTTGCAGCATGTCTGCAGTCACTGACCATCTCTTGCAGCATGTCTGCAGTCACTGACCATCTCTCGCAGCATGTCTGCAGCCTCTGACCATCTCTCGCAGCATGTCTGCAGTCACTGACCATCTCTCGCAGCATGTCTGCAGTCACTGACCATCTCTCGCAGCATGTCTGCAGTCACTGACCATCTCTCGCAGCATGTCTGCAGTCACTGACCACCTCTCGCAGCATGTCTGCAGTCACTGACCATCTCTCGCAGCATGTCTGCAGTCACTGACCATCTCTCGCAGCATGTCTGCAGTCACTGACCATCTCTCGCAGCATGTCTGCAGCCTCTGACCATCTCTCGCAGCATGTCTGCAGTCACTGACCATCTCTCGCAGCATGTCTGCAGTCACTGACCATCTCTCGCAGCATGTCTGCAGTCACTGACCATCTCTCGCAGCATGTCTGCAGTCACTGACCATCTCTCGCAGCATGTCTGCAGCCTCTGACCATCTCTCGCAGCATGTCTGCAGCCTCTGACCATCTCTCGCAGCATGTCTGCAGTCACTGACCAGCTCTCGCAGCATGTCTGCAGTCACTGACCACCTCTAGCAGCATGTCTGCAGTCACTGACCAGCTCTTGCAGCATGTCTGCAGTCACTGACCATCTCTCGCAGCATGTCTGCAGTCACTGACCATCTCTCGCAGCATGTCTGCAGTCACTGACCATCTCTCGCAGCATGTCTGCAGCCTCTGACCATCTCTCGCAGCATGTCTGCAGCCTCTGACCATCTCTCGCAGCATGTCTGCAGTCACTGACCATCTCTTGCAGCATGTCTGCAGTCACTGACCATCTCTCGCAGCATGTCTGCAGTCACTGACCACCTCTTGCAGCATGTCTGCAGTCACTGACCATCTCTCGCAGCATGTCTGCAGTCACTGACCATCTCTCGCAGCATGTCTGCAGGCACTGACCACCTCTTGCAGCATGTAAAAAATATAAATAAACAGCGCAAACATAGACCTCTATATCAAATCAATATACAAAGTGCAAACATATATAAAAAAATTTAAATAAATAGTGAAGTCCATCAAAATTAATAAACACAAAATTCAAAAATAGTTTGTGCAAACAGAAATTTTCAAATTCTTCTTCTATTATAAAGAAACTTCCACCTTCCACCCGTGAAAACCAACATCAAATGCACTCACCAGATTAAGGTGAATGAAACGCCTTTTAGGAATTTATGGGATCCTAAACCCTCTTTGGTATCCACTCTATAGGAATCCTCACCTCCAGCATAGACTCCACCATCCAACCAGGGAGAAAAAAACTCAGATAGTGTAATATTGCAAAACACCATTCATATAAGTGAAATCAAGGATTAAGGCCACTCACATTATAATCGCTTTAAAAAGGCATATTTATTAAGACCAGCTTCTTTCCAGATGAACAGTAGATGTAAGGCAACCTCTCACAGAATCTCACATCACAGCTCCAGGTTACAGCAGAAGCTCCACAGAGACCACACATATACAGATCCCAAAAGATGGCCGCTGGAACGCACCGCTCAGCGTGCGCTCCACTCACCGGAAGTGACGTCAGACGTACGGGGTAGTAACCGGAAATGCGTCAACGCGTTTCGCCCCTCCCATCGGGCGTTCTCAAGATCTTGAGAATGCCCGATGGGAGGGACGAAACGCGTTGACGCATTTCCGGTTACTACCCCGTACGTCTGACGTCACTTCCGGTGAGTGGAGCGCACGCTGAGCGGTGCGTTCCAGCGGCCATCTTTTGGGATCTGTATATGTGTGGTCTCTGTGGAGCTTCTGCTGTAACCTGGAGCTGTGATGTGAGATTCTGTGAGAGGTTGCCTTACATCTACTGTTCATCTGGAAAGAAGCTGGTCTTAATAAATATGCCTTTTTAAAGCGATTATAATGTGAGTGGCCTTAATCCTTGATTTCACTTATGAATGGTGTTTTGCAATATTACACTATCTGAGTTTTTTTTCCCTGGTTGGATGGTGGAGTCTATGCTGGAGGTGAGGATTCCTATAGAGTGGATACCAAAGAGGGTTTAGGATCCCATAAATTCCTAAAAGGCGTTTCATTCACCTTAATCTGGTGAGTGCATTTGATGTTGGTTTTCACGGGTGGAAGGTGGAAGTTTCTTTATAATAGAAGAAGAAGAATTTGAAAATTTCTGTTTGCACAAACTATTTTTGAATTTTGTGTTTATTAATTTTGATGGACTTCACTATTTATTTAAATTTTTTATATATGTTTGCACTTTGTATATTGATTTGATATAGAGGTCTATGTTTGCGCTGTTTATTTATATTTTTTACAATTTGTGTTGATCACATTGCACAGCAGCAGGATAGAACCTATAGTAGGGTGTTTCACTAGGCGCAGGAAGAGTTTTTACCTCTTGCAGCATGTCTGCAGCCACTGACCATCTCTTGCAGCATGTCTGCAGTCACTGACCATATTTTTTAAATATATTCTTCAGATTTTTTTTTTCTTTGGAATATAAATGCATTCCAAAAATGTAATTTGTATTTTTAAAGACATACAGTATATTTGAAATGTATTTTTAAAAATATTTTTCATATATTTTGTAATAAAAAACACATTTCAACATACAGTATATATATATACAGTCAGGTCCATAAATATTGGGACATCAACACAATTCTAACATTTTTGGCTCTATACACCACCACAATGGATTCGAAATGAAACAAACAAGATGTGCTTTAACTGCAGACTGTCAGCTTTAATTTGAGGGTATTTACATCCAAATCAGGTGAACGGTGTAGGCATTACAACAGTTTGCATATGTGCCTCCCACTTGTTAAGGGACCAAAAGTAATGGGACAGAATAATAATCATAAATCAAACTTTCACTTTTTAATACTTGGTTGCAAATCCTTTGCAGTCAATTACAGCCTGAAGTCTGGAACGCATAGACATCACCAGACGCTGGGTTTCATCCCTGGTGATGCTCTTCCAGGCCTCTACTGCAACTGTCTTCAGTTCCTGCTTGTTCTTGGGGCATTTTCCCTTCAGTTTTGTCTTCAGCAAGTGAAATGCATGCTCAATCGGATTCAGGTCAGGTGATTGACTTGGCCATTGCATAACATTCAACTTCTTTCCCTTAAAAAGCTCTTTGGTTGCTTTTGCAGTATGCTTTGGGCCATTGTCCATCTGCATTTGGCTGAATATGAGCAGATAATATTGCCCGAAACACTTCAGAATTCATCCTGCTGCTTTTGTCAGCAGTCACATCATCAATAAATACAAGAGAACCAGTTCCATTGGCAGCCATACATGCCCACGCCATGACACTACCACCACCATGCTTCACTGATGAGGTGGTATGCTTAGGATCATGAGCAGTTCCTTTCCTTCTCCATACTCTTCTCTTCCCATCACTCTGGTACAAGTTGATCTCGGTCTCATCTGTCCATAGGATGTTGTTCCAGAACTGTGAAGGCTTTTTTAGATGTCGTT